TGAATCCTGATCTTAATGGGATTTTCTTACATGGATTCTTGAGAAATGCTTCCCTCTCCAATTCGCAGTTATATTCCTGAAACAATTCTTACGTGGTCGATATCGCTTTGTGAGAAGAATAACAAAGATAGTTACCAATCTAATCATGTCTTCAGCTTTTGGGAATTTCTTGATACAAATGGAGTTCCTTCTAATCAGTCCTTGAGCAAGTCTACTCCTGAATTCACGATTGCCCAGCGGCCGTTATTCAGTAACACTGTTTGAGAAACTAATATCTCTCTATTTCGAAAGACGAGGGAACATCGAGTTTAGACCACAAACCATTAGTGGCGACGGCCTTTTTGGCTTTTTTACTTGGCCGTCGCCATTTGTGGTGTACAGACTGCACTCGACGCTCATCTCGTCTTCCGCAATAGAGCATATGTCTTGTTGTCGGTGATTTTGAAATACCACGAGAACTTTCAGGGTTTCCTTTGTAGTGCTACGTTACATACAAAAGAGGACAGCCTACACGGATATCTTTATTTTCAAACTCACGAACCTTCGGTAGTTATGTCCTTCTAGGACTGTTTTCCGCATCTCGTGACTCATATAGTTGTGTTTACATTCTTGTGGTGCCTCTAAAATAAAGCTGCTAGTAGTTCACACAGTATGTAACCTTGCCAGTGTAGCTAGTGGGCCATCTTATTCTTAGTGTGATGCAGGGAACCGCTTTCAAAGAGGCATACATGCTCCATCTTGATCGCGCAAGGAAATTGGCTTGTACTTGATAAATGAGTACAGAAAAATTGCACATCAATACACAAACCTTGGGCACAGACTTGCTCCACATTGTTGAGCTGAAGAGTCTGGAATTGCTAGAAGTTTTCACACGTAGCTTCGTCGGTTGCGAACCGTAAGATACGTTATTCTGGATAAACCTACCAAAAGTAACAAGGACGATGAACATCTCGTGTTCAACAGTTCTTCACGCAGTTGATTGCGGCTTTTGTTTGCCACCCTCAGTAGAACCCAGATAGGTTCACAGTTCCAATTAACCGCCCTTTGGCATGAGCGTCATAACATGTGCTTTCAACTATTGAAAAACCAACTCTGCACAATGGCGTATTATGATCATCTGCCTTGTGAACATAGCTTTTCACTACAAGCATTAAAAATCGCTGTATCAGTGCTATGCATTGATGGCGTTTTAGGGGTAGAATTTGAATTCTCTACTGAAAATAGATCGTGGAGTTAAG